ATAAATCGAAAACCCATAAAAATTGTCTTTGTTTAATTTATTTTCGTAAACTAAAAATTCACAAAATTCTCTTGCTTTGTTTTCTTGTTAGTTTGATTTCTTACAAACCGAAAAATCAAAAAAAAAAAATTATTAGTTTTGCATTTGATTTTATTTTATTTCATCAATAAAAAAAAACCCCCATAAAAAATTGAATTTCTTTTGATTTGACTCTGTGTAGTTATATTTATTTTTCATAAAATAAAACCAAATAAAAAGCATCATTTCCTTTCAACTTTGTATTATTTCAATCCATAATTCATTAAAACAAAAGTTAATTGTTGATTGTGTGAAAATCTGAAATTGCCTTAAATAACATTCTTTCCTTTTTGGATGTTATTTGCAATAGTCTCGTATCTCCTCTCTTGAAAACTATTGTGAGTTCTTTTATCTTTGTCTTGTTTGTAGGATTAAAACCAGAAGCATGAAAAGAGAAGAAGACGGGATACAAAGCGACTATGAAGAACCAATTCAGCATTGGTACGAAGAGGATGATGTCGACGAAGAAGGAACATGGCATTATGAAGACTGCTCAAAATCGGATTTTGAAGATGAACCATACTATGAAGAGCTTGAACCAGAACCGCCTGAGTCATACCACACTAATAAAGGCTACACCCTAAACCATGGATTGAATTAGAAGATAGTTTTTATAGCCATGATTCGAGAAATCCATTGAAGCAAGTTACGTCTTTTTCAGGCAAAGAGAATTACTTTACGTGGGAGGAAGACATGGAGGATTACTTCTGGGAATACAACATCTTCAAAAAAGACAAGCTCTCTTATGCCGTTGACACTCTAACGGGAGAAGCTTACACATGGTGGCTTAAAGAGGAGGAATGTCGCATCTACTACAAAGAGTCGGTGCGCACTTGGCAAGATCTAAAGTGGCTAATGTATGAGCAGTATGTGACGCGGAGTCTCACTTCAAGAAACTGCCATAAGAAGGTTCTTAAACCCTTCGTAAAACAAGCACCAATTTCAACATCCTTGCCTAAGTCGCAAGCCCCAAACCAAACCAAGGTAAGTATTCTGTCCTTAAAGCATCACTTGACCTTACTTGTTACAGGTTCAAAGGACAAGGACATGTTGCCAAGTTCTGTCCTGCGAGAAAGACTACAACAAAAACAGAACCGATGCAACACAACAATGATCCGCAAGTCAATGTAAAATCACAAACGAGTTCTCCCAATGTAAGTGATAGTTTTCTCAGAATGGATAAGATTATTGAACAAGCGATAATTTTGCTTAAGTCTATTAAAGAGAAAGAAATATTAGATGGTAAAGAAAAACAACAAATTGTGTCAACTTCAAACACTCAAGAGGTTGAATCTGAATACTCTTCTTC